TAGTCGCTGAAGCCCTCATCCCTCTCTCGGCCTTCGCAAACCGGGCCTTCCTCATCCTTAGAATCAATCCATATTACCTTTTTTTTTAATGGAATCCATATTACCTTCGTTTTCTGCTGCCTTTGGAAAAATGCCTTCGGATAATTCTGGGTTGAGGACTTGTAGTTGAGCTAGATTGGATTGATCTTACTTGGTTGGGCACGTATATTTGGTTCGAATCCCCTTCACGGCACTAGTTACATTTTGTTTTCTATTTCAGCTACTTACATGATTTTCCCACACTAGAAATTTACAACGGATTTAGCCTTAGTTCTACTTCTCTAGAAATAAGTGTCATTGCATAGTGACCCCTTTTCGCTTTGGACTAATGGATCCATCAATTTTAGCATATTTTGATCTGTTTAAGGCGAGTTGGATTGATCTTTTTCAATCTGGCAAGTACATAAGCAATTTCTATTTTTTTTAAAGCAATGCAGGCATCAATAACACAAATCTCCAAGTCTCCAAAAACACCTTTCGAGCTAATAAGATACACGTAGGCTAGTGATCTATTCAGAAGACACATACGGAGTATTAAATAATTACGTAGTATTAATAATAAGTTCATTTACAACTTTACGAGGCCATACTTTCATAAAACAAAGTTGCATACTTGCATAGGGATTCCATATTCACACAAACAGGGAAGGATCTATGTACAAGTTACGGTAGGCTGAAGTTCAGGGCAACTTAGAAATTTTTCAATTTTTTTAGTGTACATTTTTTCATTTTTCACAATTAGCCCACCCCGCTGATATTTGACCCTAGTATAATTCTTATTCAGCCCAGGACGTCTCAAATTCTGATCCGCCCCTGCACATAAAGAAGCCACTCATCACAGAAGATGCCGAGTCAAAGATCGGTTAATTGGAAGGCAGCCAGACTCTCATTTAGGTTTGATCCTCCTCGACGGTTCCATGCGAAGCATTTGCGTAAGAAGATCGATGCCAGCTTCTTGTAGAGCAGGGAACCTTTTAGCAAAGTCCATGTGTCTGTAATGAGGCCTGCGTAGAGGATAACGGCACATCTCTGTGTATCCAGGCAGCAGTTGATCTTCCTCGGGTGGACAGACCCTGAACGAGCGGCTTCTGGAAGAACCAAGGAAGCGTAGAGTGATTGAAGTGGTTAGTGACGAAATCATCCAAGCAAAAATGGGCGATGATGAGGACCCAAAAAACTTGCAGGAGGCGGTGCTGTCTAGAAAGCACCGCCTAACCCAGTGATGGCCGATTTTTGTGATGTAGGGAATGAACGAGGAGGAGGGGAGCTCCTCTCAGTACCTTTGGCGGGGGCTGATCAAACCACGATCTTCTTTCCAGTGGCCGGAAAAACTGGTGCCTTTTATTATAGTTATTTTCCTTTTTCTCAAGACATTCTAGCAACTCTCTGTTCTATTTTTAGTAGCAGGTGCAATTATGCTATTGATGGAGTCATATTACGGGACTAGTGAGTTTGTTCACTACTAATCGACATTTCAACTTTGTGTCCCATTCCAGTGTAGCCTCTATTTTGATGGCTTTGTCTCTTGTTATCATTTTAAATATGAAGTGAGTCATCTTTTTCAAAAAAAAAAAAAAAACTGATAGTCGACTCATAGTTATTGAGGGAAATAAATGCTTAAACTATTTTTAGAGCAAATTTCTTAAATGGGAGTAAAGCATACGTAGTATTATGTTTTCTCAAATAGGAGTAAGGATGTTTTAACTTGGATTGTAATTTGCTTGTCTGGTCTGGTTTGATCTGGTAAGGTATGGTCTCTTTGTATTTTTATAACTATTCAAGTCTGATTTGGTTTGGTCTATTCTGGTCCGGAATAGATTACAGTCCAATAAAAACATCCTAATAGATTTCTTCTCGGACTCATTAGTCCTAGTTTTTTTTGGATGAAACTCATTAGTCCTAGTTTAAAAAAATATTATTTTAATATTGTAATAGGATTAAATAACTCTTATTTCAAACATAAAACAATCCACTTTCTTTTTACACATTGTTCACGTTTTAATTCTATTTTGAGCAATTTTTTATATTTATACTAGCTAGGAACCACACACTCTTGGATACACAGCAATCCAAGTCCATCTAAACTATACCTCTCATCTGAGCTCCTAGGTAGAATGAGGGCACACACAATAAAAGAGCAGCTGAAGCTAACCAAATTTATCCAGAATAATGTGTATTAGTGCATATACTCCCTCCGTCCCGTTGGAATGTTCCCGCTTTACATTTTTGGATGTCCCAAAAAGAAGTTCTCATTTCCCTAAATGGAAAGTTATCCTACATCAAAACAGTGTCAAACAGTGCCAAACGGTGTCCAAACAGTGTCAAAATAGTAAAATTTACCCCCTGATAAGTTTATTTCCTTAATATGTGTGTAGGTCAAACCGGGAACATTCCAACGGGACGGGGGAGTATATTATTATACTCCGTATTATAGATCGCGGTGTGTGCGCTACTCGTCATTGGTGTTTTCCTTGTATTTGAGTGATTATGTGTGGAGTGTTTGTCTTGTCTAGACGAGATGCCACTAGGGTTGGACTCGGGCCGGGTGGCCCGACCCGGAACCGGCCCGAACCGACACTGTTCCGGCCCGGCCCGGCCCGGTGGCCCGGTCAGTGACCGGTTCGGGTAGGCCGACCCGCTGGGGTTCCAGTCCGGGCTCGGGCCCCTCAAAACGTGAACCGGACCGGCCGATTCGGGCCCGGTCCGGGCCATTTTATTATTATTTTTTTTTTTTTTGAATTTTTTTAAGTTTTTGGGTTGGGCTCGGTATTTTGGGTCATTTGAGATGGTTTGGGGGTGAGGGGGGTGGTTAGGGGTTAATTAGGAAAAGGCAAAAAAAAAAATTAACCGAGGCCCAGCCCGGCCCGGACCCGGGGGTTACCCGAGCCGGTTCCGGACCTCCCCTTTCCTGAACCGAGGCCCGGCCGGGCCCAGGCTCGAACCGGCCCGGGTCCATGCCTAGATGCCACTAGCCGAGGTGAATCAATTGTTCACCGCATCTTAGACCGTCTTCGCAAATGTTTAAAATACTCCCTCCGTCCCATTAGGATGTTCCAATTACGGTTTACGAATATAAAGCAACTTAGACTGTTCACCCTTTGATTATTTTGAGTAAACAAAATTTACATATTCAGAAATTACATTAAACCGCTACAAAGTCTGATAAAAAATGTAAATTTGATAAAAAAAAAATTGATATATAGAGCAAAAGATAAGAATGATTTATGTTGACCATATGAATAGTGGACGAGAACTAGTCATGGACCCGGGCCGGGCCGGGCCCGGCCGGGCTTTTTTTTGGGAAGGAAGGCCCGGGACCGGCCCGGGTAGCCACCGGGTCCGGGCCGGGCGGGGCCTCCGGTTCGGTCATAATTTTTTTTTTTTTTTGCTTTCCTAACCCCCCCACTCACCCCCCACCCCCCCAAACCCCCAAAACCCTCCTAACCATCAAGCCCAACCCGGCTAACCCCAAAAATGAAAAATAAAAATAAAAAAAAAAAATCAATTCGGCCCGGGCCCGGGCCCGACCCGGCCGGGCCGGTTCGCCAAATACAAGGCCCGAGCCCGGACCCGCCCCCCCACCGGGCCTAGGCCCGACCCGGACCCGAGAACCGGGCCGGTTCCGGGGCCGCACAGTGGCGGGCCGGGCCGGTCCCGGGCGGCCCGAACCGGGTCCATGCCTAACGAGAACCTTTGAATGGGACAGGGGAGTACCACCGGCACTTATCAGCATTTTTTGGAAAGCCAAGTTTTTTAAAGTAAGGTTTAACATGCTTTTATGTGCTTCTAAGCTATTTTGTAAATACCTCCGATTTCGAGGACAAATCATATCCAAATACAAGTATTATTATGCTACATGTCCCGAAGTACCTCCTACAATCCTACCTACTGCAATATGCCAACACATTATCTCATCCCTAAGCTTTACTCCTTCCATGGATACACATGTTCTATCCGTATAAAATTAAATTGCTACGGATCATGGACTACATATACTATATTAACATAAGTTCCCAGGCACGACAATCAAATTCCATCATCAGGAACTCGCCTCCAATCAACCTTCAATAGTTCAATGGCTTTTGGATCTATATGTGTCGATCTTGGTCGCTGACTTGCCGCCCACATGAGGGTGTAGGCTATGAAGAAAAAAATAATACAATGATATTTGGTACTTTACCTAAATGTAGTGCTGGACTCGGGCCGGGCGGCCCGGCCCGGAACCGGCCCGGTTACTGTTTGGCCCGGCCCGGGGCCCGGTGGGTCCACCGGTTCGGTTCGGCCCGGCCCGGCTGCTGGGCGGTTCGGGCCCGGGCCCAGGTTTTGGTGAACCGGCCCGGCCGGTTCGGGCCCGGTCCGGGCCGGATTTTATTTTATTTTTTTTTGAAATTTTTTTAAGTTTTAGGTTGGATTAGGTATTTTGGGCCATTTGAGGTGGTTTGGGATGGTTTGGGGTTGAGGGGGAGGGGTAGGGGATTAAATAGGAGAACAAAAAAAAAATAATTAATTGGGCCGGTTCGGCCCGGCCCGGCCCGGTTTGGCCCGGAACCGGGACCGGAACCGGCCACCGGCGGTTCGGGCTCGGGCCTCCCTTTCCTGGCCCGAGGCCCGGCCGGGCCCAGGCCCGAACCGGGCCCGAACCGGCCCGAGTCCAGCACTACCTAAATGTTCTATTCAAAATTACTTCTTTATCAATAGAAGCATTTGCAAACAGTCCCTTGATGATGTATATGCTTTTATTGGATACATCGGAAAGGTCTTAATAATGTAGTCCTATATGCTTATAATCAAATCATGGAAATCGGTGAGTGTTCAAGACATGATAATATTGACACGCCACAACAAAGAAATGTTAAGCGTAACCGTGTGAACAATGATTAATAGAAAGCATGAAAACATAATGTACAGGCAACATGAAAGTAACTGTACTGGAAAGCAGTTAGCAGGTAAGAAACAAAAAGTTGGCCAAGCAATCCAGATTGAGCATCTTAGCATAACAAGAAAATGAGATTAACAATGGACCCACAATTCAATTACACCATGCGTTTACAGAAAACCACACAGAGCATGCAAACCAGGCAGCGTAGAGTAAGCACAAATATTAGAATATAATAATTATTATTATAAAAGAAAAGTGACAACAGCATTTCCTACCTTTGACTATACAAATATGTAAATGCGAAACATGCAAAGTTCACTCACATTCCTATCCATTAATTAGTTGTTTGTGAAGAAGATGAAGAGTCAACAGCAACAGTCAAAGAGGACAACCGGACGGTATCTGGGCTTTTGAGCATTTCAAGTTGCTTCTTACCACGACGAAGCAAGTACTCAATGTACAAGAAATTCTTACGGTCAACTTGAACGGCATTCCGACGAAACTCAGCCGACACCAGACACTCAATCTGCCTCCTCTCTTCTTTCTGAGGTTTGGACTGTGCTGCTCTTAAGAATTGCCTGTAAAGTGAGAGCACCTGTTTTTGCATTCCAGAAAGCTGCTTTTGACCCATTGACCCGCCCCCCATACTAATCAGCCTTTCTTTTCTTCCTGCAAGACTACTGCCTGCTTAGTAAGCTTCAAATTGTTAGAGAAGAGAAATATCATCATGCCAATTCCTTTTGGAAAGAATGACCAAAATATAACTCAGAGTTCTAATGGACAAAAAAAAAGAGTACCTGTAATATTTCTAAAGAAGTGACTAATAGATCATTTCATAACCTCTCAACAATTTTCCCAAACATGTAACTCTTTATTTCGCGCGCTAGATTGTGTAAATATTTTCAATCATTTTCAATGGTGCCAAAGACTCACTATTTTTGGCTTGAGAATATGATGGAATAAAGCAAAATGGCTCACTAAACTGTCTATGCTTCTGTGCAATTTACAACGCGATTTTCATCATGGATCATCCAGAAACAATCTTTTTGTGTTTAGTACGTGGGTAAGGCTACGTACATACGACCCTCCTTATCACACTGTAGGTGGGAGCCTTTGCGGCACTAGGGTAATGTTGTTGCTGCTAGATTGTGTAATAATCAAAATAAATACAGTTGGAGGTACTTTTGTGATTGAGTTGGCTAAAATTACTTTAGATGACCATTTAACTATTTTTCATATATTTTTTCTTTATTTTTGTAGCAAAAAATATTTTAAATATTATTTCTCTATAATTAGCAGATTCAACCTCTTTAGACAAAAACATCTGCCGGTGACACCATTGTCACTGGCGATGGTGAGGTCACTGATGAGGTAATTTTAATAAAAGTGACATATTTACTCCCTGTTTTTGGAATATTTATAAAGTAGTCACATGCTTGTCCATGAATACTATTAAAAGAAAGAAACTCTATACTACATGGATGCCCTAAGGAGAATAACTAAAAAAACACGAAAGACATTTGTTTGTAAATTTAATATTGAAGAAAAAATTCAGGATTTGGACTTGTGATTATCCTCAGAAAGGTCTTTTATAATAAGTTTCATGTGATATACGACACAAAAAATTCAACACACCACAAGAAAGATACACCCTCAGTTCCAAAACCAAGTTCCAGCTTTCCTTACTCAGTTACTTGTTTGCACTGACTACAAGATAAATTTCTCTTTTCCCTACCATAACTTGGGTAGACTACTCAGCTGATATTCTTTTGCATTAGGGCCGTACCTTTATTGAGCCTTATGGACCCAAAAAATAGGGCCCCAAAAATCATATCTATATATATACTCCCTCCATCCCACTAATATTGTCTCATTTTACCTTTTCGGGAAATCCCACTATAATTGTTTCATACCAAATTAGGTAAAGTTTGTATGGCTCTAAATCATTCTTACTTTATTCTTACTTTATCAATTCAATATCAACCACATAAATTCATTTTTCTTAATAACCGTGCTGGTACCACCTCTTTGCGTCCCAATAATAGTGGGACGGAGGTAGTATTATAAAACGGAATAGTGCAGCACGAGTTTTGGGCATTCTTTTGGGCGGGAAGTGTGCAGCAATACTTCATAAGTGCTAGAAGACATCTTACACAACATGCTAAAAAACTAACTAAAGCATTTAATATTGATTAGTAATAACTACACGCAATGCTTGAAGTAATTTTTGGTATTCCAAATTGTAATAATTTGGGCGGCCAATTGCTATACAAACTAATAGTGTTTAAGACGGAGTAGTAAATAAATAAATGGACTACATAACCAAAAAGAAATTAATGGCATTTCATTTCAATGAAAATGCATACAACTGAAGAGAAAATGCCAAATACACCATTAATGACATGGCTGCTTATAATGATTACATTTAAGGACATGATATGGAGTATTTAAGGTAAAAAACGGCCTGTCTTTTGGTCTGTCACATTTCAATGTAAATTTAATCAGCCAATGATGTTTTTCAGCTATCTCTTATGAGTGAATACAAGAAAAGGCCTTATGACTTTCCAGGTGCCGTTTGAAATTCCAATGAGTATTTCAGATCTTGCTATATACTATACTATGTATAACCATCCAAGCCCATTTAGTCCAGCGAAACAAGGGTGGGGCTATTTGAAAAGGAATGCCTTACATTCTTAGTACTGTTTTCACGCTTAGATGTCCTTTATCTTTTTTTAGCTTAAACTGATTATTTAAAAACATATTTTAAGTTGATAGATGTCTAAAAAAATTAGTGCAAAACCTATTTTAGCACTGCAGGTTGTAACACACTCACACAAAATGAGGATGAGATCAAAAGCATGACATAATTAAAAAAACAATTATCTATAAAAATGCCATGCTAAAAACTCATATGTACAGTTGTACACCGATGGCAATGAAGAAAATGAATCATCTCAAAAGGATCATCTAATAAGCTGATAAAAATCATCAATACAACAGATGACGGATAGAGTACTAATCCTACTTTTGACTTTGACTGATGAATTGTCATTTGTGTGCTTTCAGTTTTTGATGGTGACACATATGAATGAATCAAAAGCTAAATTTAGATTTCTGATGAAAATTACACAAAAAAAATAGAAAGTAGTAAGATACAGCTTGCTTAGGTTTCAACAAACAATGATATCATTAATTTAACTGAATATTAATAAACAGCTACGGGGTATGAATTAAATAACTAATCAATAAAAGAGGATTGATGGAATACTTGAAGACCAATTGGCCGAACCGCCAAAGGGTGAGTGGCGGAGAGCAGGAGACCGGGCGACGGCGTGAGGCGAGTGCCACGAGGTGTTTTGCGGTACTGGAGCCTGGCGGAGTGACAGTGGTGGTGTGCTGCGTCCTGGGGGCTGCCGGAGGGCGAATCCGCAGGGGACTCGGCGGCTCGGCGGGGGCGTTCGACTCTTGACCGTTCGTGGATGATAGATGACTACTCCGCTTACGAACACCTATTGAAAGGCAGAATACTAGGCCTAAAATTTTGATTTCTTTTGCCTGCGACCCCGCCCCTGAAGCCCCAGGGACAACTCTGAATCTGAGATCTGTAATTCAATTTCTTGTTCGGAGTTTGGAGGAGATTAGGAACTAGAAAAGAGTTTAATTTGTGTGAACAAGTGTCTTGGATAAAGAAAGGGCATTGTATGGTTGTTTTCCAGAAAACTGGGGCAGTGCGCCAGTGCCGTAGTGGGGTGTTTCTAAATTCTAACAGGAAACACACCCCTCATTTTTTACATCTCAACATATGGTACCATTGAGAAAATTAAACTTGATAGAACCAAAGACGTAAAAAAATGAAAATAAGAAAACTAGAAATTACTTTAAATAGGACCAAAACTATGGCAAAAATTCAAAATATGATTTGCTATGTTTTATTCCAAAACAGGACTATATTGGTCATATTGGAAACATACCTATTTCTTCATTCCATTTTTGCCCCTCCTTTAAATATGAGTAAAACATAGTCAAAAGTCAAAATTAAATATTTAATTCATAATAAATTCAAAAAAAAATCAATAATTCGTAGAAAATTAATAAAAAATTTACAAAATTTTTATAAAATAAAAAATAATTTTTTTTAAATTAATAAAAAATAGTAAATCTCCATAAAAAAAATAAAAAAATATGGATGTCTTTCCCACCGCCTGTACTACCTCCCTACACCACCGCCTTCGATCGATGTAAAAAATGTCACTTTTTTTAAATTCCAAAAATATGACATATTACTCTATGAGAATGTGAACATTTTCATTCTGCCAACTTGAATCCTTTTGACTTCTGCCAAAAATATGAAATTCGTAATATTTTTGGCATTTCCCCCCGGTGACAGGAGGTGGTGGTACTGCCACCCTGCACCACCACCTCCGCCCGTTAAAAAATGTCATATTTACTAAAAACTGTCATTTTCCCCTGAAAATGCCAAAAAATGGCATATTTCTCTTTGAGAATGTCAACTTGAATCATTCTTCCAACTTGAATCATTCTCACTTCCGCCAAAAATATGGCATTCATAAAAAAATTGGCATTTTTTCCTAGGTGACTGGAGCTGGTGGTGTTGGGGCGGCAGAGGCGGCGGCGATTTTTTATTTTTTGCATTTTTTTTATTTTTTTAATTTATCAATTTTATTATTATTTTTTTATTTTTTTAAAATTTTTTTACGAATTTTTATTATTTTTTATTGATTTATTATGAATCAAAACATTCCAATAGCTATAAGGGTATATTTGTCCAAGACACCCATATTTGGTCCTATGGAAACATAGTTTATTTTTTGATCCTATTTGTGCAAAGTGGGTGACTTTTAGTCCTATTTTGATAATTAACCCTAAGAAAAAATGTTTACATAAATGGTAATTTCACACACAAGACTTAATAAGTGACATTTTTTAATAAGAGGTTACATTGTCATGTAAAATAAATACACAACACTAGTAATATTTTGACATTAAAATTATGGATCAGAGTTAGTATTAGAAACTTATGGCCCGTTTACTAATATGAATATTTTCTTTTCACAATTGGAAAACTGAATAAAGGAAAACTGGAAAAACATGTTTACCTGTTTATTGTCCAAAATTGAAAAGCAAACACATTTTTTTTTTCTTCTTAAGTTGGAGAATTCACTTTTTGGTGCTTTCCAAAATGGAAATATGCAGCAGTACATTGCGTCTTGTATTTGTTTTGCGCTAGGGTACCCGATTAGGGCATCTTTTTTTAAACCACATATTATTTCGAGATCTATGCAATGGTGTAAGTTGAATAATATTTTTTTTATTAAATTATGAAAATCAAGTTTCACATTTTTAATGTTTTATAACTCACTTTTAGATATCACTATTTTTTCTCAAAATAAACAAGTTTCTAATAATAACTTTGATCCATATATCATGAAGAAATATGTGGCTTAAAAAAGGTATTACTAGTTTTATGTACTAAAACATGTTATGAAAAACACGTGACTTTAAAAATAAGTTTCTAATACTTGTTTACAAAAAAATCAATTATTAAAACAACATTTCATGTGTCGACCGTCAAGTATTTTATAGTCTGATAGCATGTTGATCTCTCAAAGTGGAAGTCACAAGTTAATATCAATCAAGTATGTTGACAATAACTTGAACTGATCTTAATCCTGATCCTAAAAACTTATAAGATCCAATAAGAGTTTGGGTGTTTTTGGTATTAAAGAAAATGTTGGTGAACATCGTAGCTGATTTTACTTGTACATTAAGCTTTTAGCATTTGCTAGTTGCTACTAACTCACACCGGCAGATCCTTGTTACCAAGGTCTTCTCCCCTCATCTATCCAAATAGTGCATAGTCTTCTCAATGTATTCCTTTACGGCTGCCTCGACTTTAAAATCGAGAATGTTCAATCCTTGTCTCGTGTCGTCAGTTTGTTTGGTATGTCCATTGTCTATAATCTTTCAGTTCGTATATTTTTATTTCCAAGTTTTTAAAATGTAAATCAGTTTCTGACATTTTTACTGCTCCGTATTTTATATTTCTATTTTATACTTTTTACAATTCATGTGATTTTAAAAAATATAATTATGCTTAATTAAAATTTCAAAAATGACTAAATGTCTAGCAGGTCAAAATGATTGCATTGATTTTATTTTATTGGTAAATGTGCTTGTGTATTACTTTTATCCGAAACTTAAGTATGAGTCTGAAATGATAAATGACTTATTTAAACCTTTTCCGTTAAAGTTATATCTTAATAAAAATTGTTAAATAAAAAAGAATGAACCTATGTATACAATGTTTAGAAACAAAACTTTTTAAACTTTTTACACACACTATATAATCTTATTCTAAAGTGTAGTGTATAGGAACGTAACCAGGAGTAAGAGTTGGACTGAGCTGAAATATTTACACATAAATTTTTACATTAAAAATATAAGTAATTTTAAAATTTGGACTGAGGTGTAAAAAAATGCGTGTTCCCTCGGTATAGTTTTTTTTTAACCGCCTCAGTTATAGTTTAATATACTTAATTGTGCCCTTTTTATTTTTTTTTATTTTAATTTTAAAAAATTCAAGTATGTTTACAGTATTTTGTTTATCTTAAAAGTTTAATACTTCCTCCGTTCTTAAATAAATGCAACGGTCAACATTTCACACTTGCCGAGACACAACTTTGATCATTAATATAAATGATTTTGTATTAGTAAAAAATTTTAAAAAATTAGATTATGAAAATTTACAATGAGACAAGTTTAACAATTTTTTTTCATAAAATAATATTATTACATTAATAAATAAAACGTAATCAAAGTAGAATATGTGAATAGTGTAAAAGTCAAAGTGTTGCCATTTATTTAAGAACGGAGGTAGTATTTTCTTAATCAATTACTATTTTGTGAGAAACAGTACAAATTGAAATTGAATGTAAAGGAACCAAATCATTAAAGCATCATTTCATGCTTTGAAATGTAAAATCGACATATCGAATGGAACTTAATACTTTGAGTTGTATTTGGGCAAGAAACATAACCCAGCTTCTGATATTCTTCTCCGCCTCAGCTTAGAACCCATAACTCAACCATCACGGCAGCTTCTCCGCTCCTGACATTCTTCTCCACTCCTTTAGTGCATTTCTGAGCACCGTCTGCGCTCGCACACAGGTATGATCGCATGTCTCAAGAAATTCTTTTCCGTGTATAATTCTTTTCATCTGCTACTTCTACTCTCTGCTGTCAATCACCTCCCTTCAACCATATTCAGGCAATTTTCTTTATTAAATATATTTGACATTTTAATTTTAATATATACTAAAGATTGAACTTTTGTATATCTTTTTGTCTCGAGCTTCTTTAATTGCTTAAACTTCGGGTTGAAGCTTGAAATATTTCAGGTCTGAAATTTTTATGTTTTATAATGTCTATAATGTGTTCTTAAAAATGTTTCTATGAGATTTTGAATTTAAGAAGATTTAATTTCTTTAAATTTGAGATGGATAACTAAGAAGTCTGCGTTTAAGCTTTGTATTGTAACGTTTAAAAGATGTTTGGAAAAATGTCTCAATGACTGTTATATGGGCCACTTGGTATTTCGCACGTATTACGTCATTTATATGCTAGGTATTTCTGTGAAGGTTTGATTTAAAGTATGCTTTTGTAGTCATTTCTTTACAAAATTTTAAAGATGAATGAGGCTAAGGTTATTTTGGATATAAAAAGTTTGTTGGTGTAATGTTATAGCTCAGTGCAGGTGTATTATGTGGTTATAAGTAAGTGTATCTCTACCTTAGTAGCTTGGTATGGCACTATCGCCATTAACAATAGTTATCTACCCGTTAGTAAAGCCTCACCCAACTAAACCAGTTAGCCTTTCAAGGCTTTAACCAAGTATGCCTTCTGCTTCTGCACCATTTGACCCGTTTCATCAGGCCAGTGAGATTAGTCGCTAAGGACCCAGTTCGCCCGCCGAAGATCGCCGTCTTCATTGCCTTCCTTGGTCCCTTTTGTTTTGGTGATGATGATGATGATTGCTTAAGAAGGTAATCTATTTATATACTTTGTATGTAATATTCACCTAATAACTAATTGTGACCCTAAGTTCTTTCCATCTCTTGCGGAGCAAGTTTTGAAAATCCAAGAGGCCCTTTAAACTTCAATTGTTTTCCCACTGCTCGATGGTCTTCTTCTGGTCAGCCTTTTACAAATTTCTTCTTTTTTTTGTTAGTGTTTAATCACCTTTGTTTACTGACAGATAGAATAACAGAGTGAAAACTATTTGTTAACCAACGGTCTGTGCTTATGTAAAGTGTTGTACGGCTAAAAGTTAGTGGGAATTGAGGAATTAAACTTTACACCCATATGCTACAAATTTATTAACAATTTTCCCTCTAACACTAGAAACAATTAAATCTTTTGAATAATTGCAGCTATTTTTTAAAACTGAAATTCAATAAAAGATATTGTATATTAAAGCCTCCAGTTGCCGAAACCAAATATATCTGTTGATCGATGAAACCAGTTGAAGAAGATCCGCCATTGATGAAACAAAAGAAAACTTCTGATATATGATAGAAAGTGCGCTTAAAAGGAATCTGTGAACTTGTATTGAATGAATTGATTTGTCCAACCAAAAAATGAAAGAGCCAGGACTATATATACATCAAATATACAAACTAAACTAAGATGCAAAAGTGGCTACAAGCTGCAGGGTTGTCATATATATTATAGTTAAAGTTGTTATAACTAGATATAGAGTGTTGTGGTCATGTTTCTTTTAACAAATGTCGTAGCTGTGGTGAATTTCGGAACAAATAAATTTGAGTTAGATAAAAGCAAAGGATTAGGCTCATATGTTCCTCATTTTAGTGATTGCTATATAGATATTTCTATGTCTTTTGTTAATGGAAAAATGGTGTTCATTCCTATTTAGAAGAAGGTTAGCTACTGGCTTATTCAGCAGATGACTTAATTCTATCTACTATAACAACATCATATCTGTCAGTTTTTTATACAACGGATTAGTTGTTGCTGTGATATAGTCTGAATATTTATATTCGTACATGGCCTTTATGATTCATGTTAGCCGACCCCAATACCGTTTGGGACTAAGGCTTGGATGTTGTTGTTGTTGTTGTATGGCCTTTATGAATCAAGCTGAAGTCCTTTTGTATCAGCTATACTAATGTTAGGCTGCATTTTTACTTTTCTGGAATAAGTTATGACATTCAAATTCAGGGGAATCATAAAATAGAAACTTACTATCATTTAAAAGATTTAAAAACTGGAATTGCTGTCAGACTAATTCCATATCAGGTAGACTAAGATGAAAGGGTTAACTATTGGGATGTTTTTGAAATTCAATATCAGTTAAACTCTTTCGATGTTACGTTTTACTATCATTGTGTATTACATAACTTGAATGTGAACAAAACTGGGATAATAATGGATCATTTGGTTAGGTTTTTAAGCCTCAAAAGATCTCCCTACAACCTGCACTCCTAATTCCATAAAAACCCATATTTATAGTGAGGCAAAGTACATGAAAGTCATGTAAGCTTTTGGTATTCACTATCACGATCTAGGGGTCTTAATATTTTGAACACTACCCATAAATAGTTATGTACTCCCTCCGTCTCTCTAAGATTGTCCCATCTTTCCTTTTCGGTCCGTCCCGCTAAGATTGTTGCATGCCATAAAAATTTGTGTGGTTCTAAATCATTCTTATCTTATTCTTTATCAATTCAATATCAACCACATAAATCCACTTCTTTTAATACCTGCACCACCTCTTTCATGTCCCAATATTACTGGGACGGAGGTAGTATTACTTTATTGGTCCGCCTTTATGCCTATAAGTTTTCCATTTTTTATACTTTAGTTAATAATACGTCAGTTAATTTCCTAACCAAACAAGTCCCCAAATGAGAGGTTAATATAAAAATTCTAGCACTTGATACTACCTGATATTTCATAGCAGTACCTAATGTTTCATAGCACTTCACCTATTAACTAGATAAAAATTCCACTCTCGTATTACAGATGAGATTATGAGTATACCAAACTGCACTTTGGTATTATAAGTTTCAAGAAAATTTTGGCCTTTCTCATTAAATTTTGTCATTGTGTATTGCAAGACTTAACTTTGAACATAGTTGGGATGATAATTGATCATTTGTTTGAGTTTTTAAGCCTCCAGTGTATCCCCCAATAGTCTGCACTTCTAAGCCTATTAGACTCAAGTTTGCAACATGTACTAATTTTATTTTAGTAGCATCGTTCTAATTCTGCAATTGAGAACTCATCATCCAAAGTACTTTGCGTAAAGATCTTTCTGTAAGAGAGAGCATAACTTGCTATAGGGCCTAGATAGGGTTGGTGGATAATGTACCCAAACCTCAGATGTGAATATCTCACACAAAGACTTGTCGAAGGAGTTCAAAACTTGATTGTCATGTTTTGGAATCATCGTTTCCAGCAAATCTTTATGCTTCTTTTGTATTTGTCATCTCCCAAAGTTTTTTATGACGTAGGCTATATTAATGAAGTTCTTTTATGAGAATCAATTTATATTAAATGTTACATCCATTTGTAGGTAATGTTAGCAGTTTTGAGTGGCACGAGGTTGCTGTGTAACGTGTTCTTCTAAGGAGAGAATTGTCTGGGATGATGACAATACTCTGTTTACCTGTGGAGATAAGGAAGAGAGGTTAAAAGGCTGGGGGTAGTGATTTACAATTACTTTTACTCAATCAATCAATCAATCAATCAATCAATCATCAATCATCATTTACCCCAGTGCCCAAAGGCTCCCACCTACGGTGGGGTAAGGGGGAGTCGGATGTACGCAGTCTTACCCCTGTACTAAAGCATAGAGAGACTGTTTCCGGATGACCCATAATGAAAATCGCATCCAAAATTGCATGGACTGACTGCTGCTTCATAACAAGGAAGAGCAGACAGTTGGTGAGCCATTTTGCTTTATTCCATCATATTCTCCATCATATTTTTTGGCTGCATTGCCGAAAAATAACAATTACTTTTACTCCTTTGGTAATTTTAAGAGATAATGCTACCCCTTATTTTAAAATTAAACCTTATTGAAATTTAAATAAAGTACAAGTTATTTACAAGTTTGGTAATGTCTTTATCATTAAAAAAAGTTTGCAAGTTTAGGTTGCCTTATCAAGAGGTAATGTCTTTATCATAATGTCTTATTTAAAAGTTTGATAAGATAAGTTATTTACAAGGTATAAACGCCGGTGTGTACAAGAAGCAAAGTTGAATTAACATTACACACATTCAATTGCATTTCAGTACATATTATCAGTCTACAAAAGTTTATTTCATTAATTAAATAGTTATTGGTCTGCTGTGTGTTTAATTAAACTGTTAAAGTGTTTGCATGATTTAGATGGCGTATGACTACAAATTTTTCAGGTTTATAAGGCAACCTAAATATGAGCATTTTAGTGAGTGTCATATGGCTATTAAACTATGTGGAAGCTCTAGCATCATGAGTTCTCAAAGGTATCTGGTTTAGAAGATCTCTCCAGGTGAGGAACTTCAAAGATTTAGATACATGTGTATCAGATATTGCACAATTTGAGTATAGATCCTGACTCCAACTCATTAATGTAACCAAACAACCTGATAACCTGATTTTGTGAAACGAATATCCCGATTACTCACTCTAGTGCTTTATAGAGTCCAGATTTTCTGATTTTCTCTAGAGCAGATAGGAATAGGGTCTAAATAAAAGCTTGTTATGGATTGTAAGATTTTATGTAATGTTATTTCGTACCTCCATTCTGTAGGGTCATCAACAATGCCCAACTCCTGCATTGGCAGATTTACTGGAATCCCTAAAACTCTTGTCCCCCTTCCCCGTGAAAGAAAGTTCAAAATAATTTTCAAAAGAATATTGTCCACATGTGCATTACCAGCGTGTCTTCCGCAAAGCTCAACTCTCATTCACCCTTACCCAACCTTGGTTGTGACCGGTTGCATAGCTCCATCTAATGCTCCACAACGATCTGAGGAGTGGTTTTCCCTTCGCAAGGACAAGTTGACCACAAGCACCTTCAGCACCGCCTTGGGATTATGGAAAGGAAAACGCCGCTATGAGCTTTGGCACGAGAAGGTATTTGCTCCTGATGCTCTTCCCATTGCTGAGTCTAGTAAACGTGCCATGGATTGGGGTGCTCTCATGGAAGAAGTGGCTATACAGCAATACAAAAGCATCACAGGGCGTGAAGTGGGCTCATTGGGATTTGCAATGCATTCAGATGATAAGTTTGACTGGGTCGGAGCGTCTCCCGATGGACTCTTACAAGCAGAAGGAGGAGGAGGAGGAGGGATTTTGGAGGTGAAGTGTCCTTACAACAAGGGAAAGCCCGAAAAGGGTCTTCCGTGGTCAGCCATGCCATTCTACTACATGCCACAAGTCCAAGGACAAATGGAGATCATGAACCGAGATTGGGCTGATTTATATTGTTGGACACCTAACGGGAGCACAATATTTCGGGTCGGTAGAGACCGTGGTTATTGGGAATTGATGTGTGGGATATTGTGGGAGTTTTGGTGGAAGAATGTGGTTCCAGCTAGGGAAGCATTGTTATTGGGGAGGGAGGAGGAGGAGGTGAAGTCGTCGTACATACCGACGTCAACTCACGAAAAGACAGGGCTTGTGATCGCTAGAAGCTTGAAGTTGGCCAAAGAGGCTAGGTTGTGGTGCAGGGATATTGCTGGTCACACTGAGTTCCACCATTGATGATTCACTCATAATAAATATATTAAACACGCTCTTTTTAACTGATATATTCTTGAGCGGAGAGAGTGGGGGAGCTCTGTTTGGAATCTTGAGTGGCCTTTTTTTTTGTTTATGTCTTAACACAATGCCTTCTTCTACCTGATTTAGAGAGGGTTGTAAAATTGCTGTTCCACTATTTAATTCATGATTATTCTCGGCTCCATGAAATGTGGTAATCTATGTTGCAGCAAAAAGGAAACTTGAAAAAGGAGACGTTGGCAACGTTGCAGCTGGAAATATTGTTTGTAAATCAATTGTTGTTTTAAAAAAGGTTCTTCTAGAGTTTTTTGAAAGCCTTGGATGTATGAAACTCCTACCACCTAAGAATTTACATAAATACATGCTATTAAAGGTTGTAGTTACTTCATTGCTGAAGTGTGAATATCTGTCTACATATGTTTGCATGCTGCATTCTACATTTATTTTTTGGGAAAATTGTCAAATAGGTCCTTGAACTTTCATAAAAAAGTCAATTAAGTCCTTCTATAGGGCTGTTCCCGGTGGAATTTTTTGATGAAATTTTTGAGCATCTTATTCATCAAGTGATTCAAGTCTAGTTTACTCATACCAAATTTCAGTTAAAAATTTAATCGGGCGCGCATTCAAATTAATTCGAGAACGCAAAAATGCGCAGTTATCTTCAAGAATTAATTTGAATGTGTTTCCGATTGAATTTTTAGCTGAAATTTGGTATGAGTAAACTAGACTTGGTGAATAAGATGCTAAAAAAATTTTATCAAAAAGTTCCACCGGGAACTGTCTCAAATCGCGACGGCCGGACAGAACCTCCTATAGAAGGATTTAATTGATCTTTTTATGAAAGTTGGAGGACTTATTTGACAGTTTTCCCTTATTTTTTCTACCGTTATTTAAAAGCCCTTTCTACATTTAAATAGTAATGTTGAAATTGATTAATATTGTTGAAATTCTAATTGAAAATTGTTCGTTTTAAGAAAATGAACTAATTATGCAACTCTAATTTTATTTGTTTTAATTAATAATTACACAATCCGGAGAGCCCACTCAAAGCTTTAGGGCATGTTTGGCACAACTGGCTGAAAAGATACTTTTGTGAGCTTTTTAATAGCTATTAACTTTTAGTGACTGAAAAGATCTTAAAAAGAAAAGGTGGTACCTGTTTGACAAAAAGCTGACTGTTTGATTTAGTTCGGTTTGGTATACAAGCTGTTAGGATTAATTAATACTAAAAGTCACTAGCTTTTCTTAGATGCTACTCCCGGTAGCATCTCAAAAAAGATCTTTTAATTTTTGAAAAGCTCTTAAATATTGTCATGCCAAACACACAACTAGAAGCTTTTAGGAACTTTTTGAACAGTACAAAAGCTAGAAGTCAGGGACTTATGCCCGCCAAACATAGCCTTAGTGTTTGATAAGAAATTTGACTAATGAATTAAATGACTATGATATCCAAGTTGGTTGAATAACTAAAAGAATTGATATTTAATACTCCGTATTTGTTTTTCAATTTTAAAAGTGTATAAACTAATGAATAATTTTTATTGATAGCATTATCATACATTCATACTCGTCATATCAATTTTGAAAAATGTAAATAGAAGTACTTCGCTAAAAAAATACTTGTAGGACACTTGGACCATTTATCATTTTGGGCTTTCTGTGCCTGATTGCCTGGCAAAAAATGAAAATTACGGTGTTCTATTTCCATTTGAGGACACGGTTCCATTTGACCATTTATCATATTTTTTAGGATACGATTCCATTCCTCATTTGCGAGCTAGTGTTTTTCTGATAATATTTTATTTTATCAATGTTTTTCTGATAGAATTTTATTTTGTCAATAATGACATAATTTTATGTTCTACCTCCATTTGAAAATTATGGCTTTCCATGCTTGACAAAAATGATAAATATGGAATTTTACACTTTTACCTCCATTTGAGAACACTTTCAATATCTTGATGATCCTGTCAGAATTTCATAAATTTGAGCATAATCAGTCGAAAAAAAAATGTTAATGAAAAGTATTATTATGATTGAATAAGAAAAAGACAAATGAAAGATAGCCAAACAAAATTTCTCAAAAATGGTTAATTGGTAGAATTCTTTTGGGATATCAAAAAATAAGTGGAAAGAATGTTTGGAAAGATCTTCATGAAGGTTCAAATTGATATTCCAAAAAAAATTTAGGGGTGTTTGGATCTGATTCTCAAAATTGCTCCTTCAGGGAGCAGAATCAGAAGCTGGAGTGTTTGGATGAAATTCTAAAAGCACTTCTGGAGCTTTAATTTACTCTCAGAAACAGTTTTTTTTAGAAGTTAGGTACCCAAAACTGATTTGCTTGTGATTTAAAAAAGAAGCAGAGTTCCAAACACCCCTTAATTTTGCCCCGTAGGAATCAGTGAATCACAGTAAACTGAACAAGATGTCGAGGGAAGCCGAGGACGCAGCGCCGGTAACGACCGCGGCTGCACCTCCACAGCGAACTTTTGGGGAGCCGTGGACTGAATTCAATGATGGTTTAACTTACCATGACCTCGTCCGTCCCGCTGATGCCGGTCTCTACTCCATATCCCTCATTCTCTCTATAAATAATGTACAATATTTGCAGAACTATTTCAATTTGTTTTGTTTTGAAATGATTAAATCCATAGGTCTTACATTGATCGAGTTCTACTCCAGGAAGTACAAGAGTTCAGCTCCCGTACAGGGGTAACATTATCTACTATTCACATACTTCTTTTACATAAGCTGTTATAGTCTTTTACAATTTAGTTTCCTTTTACAAATGGTCGCCGGAGGACCTAAGGGCATGGGGGGCAAGCGTCTCGCTTCAAATCCCAGCTAGTACTATTAGTGCTTATGTCATAAACTAATGTCCTGCGGCCTGCCAATCCTAAGGAAAACTATTATTCCTTCAAGTGAGGGAATGAGGGATAAACTTCTATATCATGAAATCCACTTTGCAAATATATTACTAGAATGCTGAATAAAACTCCATATATAGTCCAATACAGAACTAATATCATTTTTGGTTTTTGCTCTTGTTATTACTTCACTCAAGTCTAAGACCCAATTGGTTCTTGATCAATCAAAATTGTAACAGCCACAACTAACTATATTTTTTGTTATGTACTACGTAGTTCTGAATTCTTTAGTATAGGGGTAAGATTGCGTACATCCGACCCCCCTTACCCCACCAAAGGTGTGGGAGCCTTTGCGGCACTGGGGTGATGATGATGACGACGACTACGTAGTTCTGAATTCTGATCCTGATTTTTCCATTTCATTAAGTTCACTGTTCCTATCTTATATCACCCAAAATCTCCAAGAACCTTACCAAACCATGAGGTAAAAACCAAACTTGAAACCAGTAGATTATTGAAATCTGAAAATAACATCGTTTAACCTATTTGTTGTTAAAATCCTTCAATTTTAGGTATGAAAATAGTCCTTAACCGAACTTGACTTAGCCTGTGTGCATCGGCAGGCCCCCCTGCAAAGATTCTCTGGGCCTGCCTCTTGAGGTAGTCATCTTTAGAGGTATTACTTTTAAAAAAAGGCTACTCTCACATAAGGTTGACATTTGAGAATGTAACTCATTGTTTGTTTGATATCTATGACTTAGATATGTCTTTTTAGTGTCTGTTTGACCTATTTATCTACCAGTCAAGCTGTGCAAATGTGGGGGTGTGTTTCATGTATTTGTGTTACACTGGCTACTCTTTTAAGCATAGATTACTAACAACATTTAGGAAGCAAACCCAGGTCATAATAACGTTTTAGCTGAACAACTAATGATAAAAAATGACAATGAGCATTCAGTTGTTCGCATTCTAGAAAACTTACATTGTTTTTTCTGGAGCTTGTGGTGTCACAAAGATTGATTGTAGAAGATATGATTCTGGGATTATTAATTATATTCTAGAATTTCTTAGCTATATCACCTATTGAGCCATCTACATGTTTACTTAGACTCTAACAAATGAGCAGTTGGTTGCAGAGAATTCAAAACAAACAGGTTAGCACCTCTTAGTAATGCTCAAATGCTTGAATATATTATCCATATATTGGCTCAAATGAGATGGGTGTGCTTTGCAATATCTCCAGATAACTGTTGATGGTATCGTTGTTAGCAATCCAGATGCACGTCTCAGGTTTGTTAAGTAAAAGATGTGTTACGGAGTATTTATTATGCATAGTGGCTACGTTTTTCCTGTGGGATAAAAATTTATATAAATACTTGTCGGTATCTTGGTAACTTTTTGCAGATCTGGTGCACAACTTGTATATCACCGCCTTCCATGGAAGGAGCCCTATGCACCTTATGTGTTGGATGTTTTATTTGAAGATAAAACTTTGGTACATTCACTGCATTTATTTTTTCAATTTATAACTGCCTTTGGCCATTTCCTTTAAAAAAGTTGTGGCTATGTTTATGGTTTTTATTTCCACTATGTACTTGATGTACTATACATTAAAGCAGGATAAATTTAAGTTTACTTGAATGGTTTCAGATTGCTCTAAACAAGCCTTCTGGTTTGCAAGTATTACCAGGAGGCTTATTCCAGCAGCGTACTGTCTTGACGCAACTTCAGCGGCGTGAAAGAAATTCGTCAAATTTATCAACTTGTGGAGAATCAAGTCCTGTCCCAGTTCATCGTTTAGGGCGCGGTACATCAGGTATGTCATTAGTGAAATATTAGAGTTCAAGATCAGGTTGAGATTTGATAGTGATCATTTTATCTCCTGAAGTTTTTGCTCATTTTGAAATTTTAGGGATACTACTTTGTGCAAAAACTAAACTTGCAAAATCTTGCCTTGCCTCATATTTTGCTGATGGAACATCAATTGTTCAAGAAAAGAGGTACTTTTCTTTAGCACTAAATTTGGCTTTAATACTATACATTGCACATTGATGATTTACTCTTAAGCTTAAACTTTGTTGCATATGTGAAAGGTTTAGCTGCTGTAGAGTATGCTGAATTTGGTTATAATACAACACACATTGATACTTTACTTTAGCACTCAATTTGGCTGTAATCAAATACATAGCACACTAATAATTTTCTCTTAAGCCTTTGTTGCATATCTGAAAGGTTTAGTTGCTCTATAGTTAGCTAAATACAGTACAAATGTGCCCTGTTGTACGTCTGTGATGCAACATTATTCTTCTCACAAACTGGAGGCCGTCTAGTACTCACAACTCCAAAAAATTCTGGTCTTTTCAATTTTATGCATCCGAAATATCTATGGAAACACTTCCTTTTTGGTGCATCCTTAAAAAGACCCATTTCCATATTTGGTGAAAGAATAGCTGTTACCTTACTTCACTAACCTCTTTTATATCCCCATTTACTGCCGTTAATTACTCCCAATAGCATATCACATGGCCAGCGTAGGAAGTAA